GGTTTGACTGGCCGTTGATCTCGGGGTCAGGACTCTCCTCGCTAATCCCTCGCTCTCCAAACACCGCCCCCCCCCTCCTCCCCACGCTCTCCCTCCCTTTCTCTCACCCCTCTCCCCTCCTGCCACCCCCGTTTTCTTCTTGCATCATTCATCTGCAGCCTCTCTGACGGCATTGGGGGCACCTCGCTTCCCGGGGCCGCAGCTCGCAGAGACCCACTCGCACCCACAAACAACATCCCCCAGGCCCACTGCTCCACGACTCCGGGGGGATTGGCTTAGCAAGGAGGACCCTTCCTGCAAGATCAGCCCTCTGCACGCTGACACGGACACACGGACACGGGGACACACTGACGCTGTCCGCCCCCACGGGACTGCCCCGTCCCGGCGCTCCCCACGTGATGCCGAGTGTGGGAGGGAAGGGGAGATCTGGAGATCACTGGGGCGAGCTGAGAGAAAGCGTGAGGGAAGGGGGAGGGAGGGGCAGAAAAGGGCTCGGGAGAGTCGGTGAGTGCCCGGGAAAGGCGGGGAAATCGTGGGGCGTGGGAGAGCGTCGGCGCCAGCCCCGGGAGAGCATCCCGTCCAGATAACCCATCAAACCCACAGACACCTGCCAGCTCGCGTCTTTTAGTTCCGTTTTACTTTACAGCAATGCTGAGATCAGCCTTTTGGTTTGGTTTTCGGCGGGGGGGGGAGCGTGTCTGTGTGATGCTGTGGTGCTTTTTTTCTTTTATAGATTTTTTTTTTCCCCCTTCCTTGGAAGTTTGCACGTAATAATAAAATGCTGTAACCGCGTCAGACGTTCAGGTGACCCGGCCTGATGTCGCCTGCATGTGGCGCAGCTGGGAGGGAGGGTCCTCCCCACCCCCCACCCCGCCCTACCAAGGAGCATTTCGCGGAGCTTCTTGTCCCGCTGTGGCCCTACGGGCGCCTTGGTTCTGATTTCTGGAAACGTCCCTCTTTTTATCTTCATGGACAATTTCGTGTGTCCTCCTCCCGGCTCGGAGCCGTCCCATCGATGTTCCCCCCGGGGCTTGTCGCGATGTGACTCCTGCTGAGGGCGCGGGGCAGTGGAACTGGAGGGAACGGCTTTTCCCCGGGGCCCAGCGCCACTCCTACGAGCTCAGTGAGCCACGCACGGTGGAGAGGAAGATGTTTTTTAAAACAGAAGAACCGTTGGGAAAAGAGCTGTGGAGTTCAGGCCAAGTTTGTGTTTTGGCTCGAAGTTTGGAGCGGATCAAACCTGTTATCTCTGTGTGCCTCCTGTCCTCCTGGCCCCTCTGCCGCCGTCCCCCTCCCGGGGCACAGGGACTCCGCGGCAGCGCGGTGACCGCGGGGGGGTCTGGCCCACGTGGGGCCTTGACCCCAAGCTCCCCACGCTACACCCAGCCTAACTGCACGGAGAAGGCACCTCGGCCCCGCTCCCATTCGCCTTATTCCCTGGATTTTCCTTCCTTTTACTGAAAACGAGATGACTTTTTGCTTTAATTCTTCCACATACGTGATTTTAATAGCTCTGTCAATCATGCTATAGGAAGAACATTTCATACAATTGTAGATGTAATGTACTTAAACCATAAATCGCTTAAACCTATTCTTAGTTTTGCATATTCAATTATTCTCTTATATATGACTCTCATAGCAAAAAGCCCGAAGACATAATTATGTTACTGTACCTAACCCCAACTCATCTGCCTAGGAAAGTTGTTTTGTTTAAATACCCAAATGTGAAGTTTAACTCAAATTAAACTGAACTGCCAAACCAACCAATAAACCATGAACAGCAAAAAAATTCTACCCCGACGGTGTCTCAGGGGGTGGGGTGGGTGGATAGTTTTTTGGTATTTCGAGGAGATGGGGTTTTTTTTTGTTTTGTTGTTTTTTTGTTTTTTTTTTTTTTTTTTTTTTGTCAATCTCTGCTTCATCATAGCCCAACACCAAGGAGAACAAGGGAGTTCCCAGCCACCAGTCCTGGCAGGATCAAAGTTTTCCCTTTAAACCAGTGAGGAGCTCCATGATGTCAGCCATTCCAAATTCAGAACTAGGCAGAGGTATTTGCAGAGCGAACTTCATTACATTGAAAGGCGGGCTGAGGGTATTTGAAGCTTATTTGAATATAGCCGACATTGGGTCGCTTTAATCCCCTTGTGTTGAAAGTGCAGGTATTCCTATTATTCTAGGCATAACGCCATTGAGCGTTATTGTGATGGTAGGAGGGAAAACTCATTAAAAGGAGCTAATTTAGAGAGCTATAATTTTTTTTTTTAAAGCACTTCCCCATAGTATTTCTGCTGTTTGGACACAAATGAACAGATATTTATTTGCTTTTCTCCCTTGACCGCTCCAGTCCTGTTCCATCAGTCGTGTTCAGCGATACAGGATCGTCTCGCTGGGATTTTCTATTCTACATTGTCATTAAATGTGATTTTTCAATAGCTATTCAATAGCTAGGGTGCATCAGACGTGTATGTGTCTGCATGTGCACACACACACACACACACTTCTCTTCGGTCACGATGCTATCTATGGTGTGTACAGATATTTACGAGTATATGCGCATGAAGGACAACATGTTTCAAGAAACAATTCAACAGGTACCCAACATAATCTGCGTACCTAAAGGTACAGCTATTTTAAAAATTTCATCTAAGACTGTGGCTGGAAGTGATCAACACCGCAGAAAGTTTCCCACAGGTTCCTGCTTTCTGTATGCACTCTTTGGTCGCTGAGCATTTCCAAAAGTCGTCTGCTGACTGTCTGAACCCGCACACTCCTCCATTTTAATAAAGGCTCGAATAGTTTAAAAAAGGAAAGGAAAAAAAAAAAAAAACCCAAACCAAAAACTTTGGGCTGAAATCAATGGACAGCCTCCATGAAAATTTTGCGTTCAGTATGAGTGATTCATACAAAATTATCGACAGGAGTCCGAAGAGTTATGTACGTCAATTGACATGTCGGCATTATAGAAGTGCAATCTCTAAGACGGACCAAACCCGCTCCTCATTAGCTAACTAAAACTTCCCCACTCCTGGACGGATGCAGTACTTATTCACCAGAGCTAAAAGACGAATAGTCCTACAGCCTGCTGGGATCGACATTGAAGTCCTGAAAGTTAATTATTTTTCCTTTTGTTTAAGCATTTATGACTACTTTAAAAATTCATTTGCTACAGTAGTTTACAGCAAACTTTTAATTCTAACATATAGAAAAGTATCTCTCAACAGCTAGGAAAAAGAATTTAAATTAGCTCTCAAAGCAATAAACAACATTCTGCAATGAAATGACACGCACCGTTTTGCTCGACAGCTTTCGCACCAGTCGCTAAAAATGGGGGGTGAGGGGGTGGGGAAGGGGGAGAAAGGTGTGACCCCGCCGCTCCCGCTCGCCCCCCGGAATGCTCCGGGTGGATGGGACTGCTTCTAGGGCGTGAGGTTTAGAGGTCGCTTTTCTTTTCGGGACGCGCAAAAAGAAGCGCTTTCACTTTCCATGGTGTTAATTAGAGGGGAAGTGCCGCGCTGGACGGTGTCCTCCCGTTTCCCGGGCCGCCGGGAACTCCCGGCCGAGTGGGGGCCCGGGGCGAGAGGGGCGGGCAGCGCCCGATCACCCCCCAGGGGAAAAGTCAAGGCTCCGGCAAGGTCCGGACCACCAGCCCAGCCCTAAAATCCACAAAATGAACGGTCACGGCTAGAAGAGTAACGCAGTAAACTGCCTTCCCTGGCAGTAGGGAACGAGTATTAAAATAGATCTACCTTCACCCCTTCTGATTTACATAGGTTAGGGAACATCGACATTTACTGCAGATTGCACTTCATTCTGTTTGCCCCTGCTGCTTAAAACTTCCTTCCCAAAATCTATGTTTCCCTGCTGTACTTCCAGGCTTACTATGGTCAACACCACTATGTTCGCCAGTTAGCATTTCTTTTTATACGGGTGACTTTTTCCGCTTTGAAATTTATTTAATCAAAACAGAAAAAAAAAAAGATGACCGCATCCTTAGGATTTCTGTTTAGCAGAAAGACTTTTTAGTAACTATATACACAATCTGATTTCCTTCGTACCGCCTAAATAAAAATTATTTCACAATGCATTTACAGAAATGATACAAAAAGAAAACAAAATCAAAGAGAAAACAAACAAACAAAAATATCCAGATACAATAAAGTTTTACGAAACCCGGGGGGAAAAAAAATGGAGCTTCCAAAACAAAACAACAACAAAAAAAGTTTTATAAATAAACCAACAAGTAACTAAAAAAAAAACCCCAACCCCAACCCAAAAAACCCTCGAGAATATCTACAAAAACTTTAAGGTGTTCTTTTGAATTTGTCTTAGTACAGGAGTAATAAATGAGAACTGTTTCCTCATCAACTTCGAGTTAATTAGTCAATAAAAAAATCTTCGCAAGAAGCGATCCGTGACTGAAATCACAGCGGTTCCGCGCGGTATAAAAGTTGGCATCACCTACAACTTTGTGTGTTTATTAATGCTATTTTTTCTTTTCGCCGCAGTTTCCCCCCTTTCTCTCTTTCTCCTCTTTTGCAAATAAACGCTCTATGTCTCTTGAGTGAATGATAAATACTGTACAAAAAGTCTCGATAAAACACAGAAGTTCAGTCTAAAACTAGTTTCATAAACTAGTCCTAAAAAAAAAGGTAAGTAAAGCAACCGTTACCTTTTTTCTCTCTCGTTATTATTATTATTATTTATTATTATTATTACAAGAACATCAAAACATTTCTGTACAAAAAGGAAGGAAGAAAGAAAAAAAAAAGAGAGGCGGGGGAGGGCGGAAGGGAAGGGGCGCGAGAGGCAAAAATAAGAGGGGGGAACCTGGGAGCGGGGCAGGAGCGGCGCGGGGCCGGGGCGCGGGCAGCGGCCGGGGCTGAGCGTGCGGTGGCAGCGGCGGGGCGCGCAGTCCTGCAGGCCGGCCCGGGGCCGGGGGCGGCGGCCGAGCCGGTGCCCACGTCCGTGCCTGCCTCCGGCGCTCCGGTACTGGCGGGGGCTCAGATGTGCGTCAAGGGAACGGTGCCGTTCACCCCCGTGCTGGCGCTCTGGTAGTGCTGGGGCAGGGAGTGGAGCCGGCTCTGGGCGGCAGCGGCCGCCGGATCCCCGCCTTCCCCGGCCGGTAAGTACATGCTGATCATTTCCCGCAGGTCCCCGGGGCACGGGGCCCGCGAGTGAGAGGTGACGGGCGGGCTCACGCTGGGCTCCGACTTCACCAGCGAGCCCAGGGCGCCCAGCGCGCCCGAGGAGGCGGCCGCCGCCGCTGCCGCTGCCGCCGCCGCCGCCGCCGAGTTCTGGTGGGGCTGGGAGCCGTAGGGCAGGGCGCCGTAGCCCGAGGGCGAGGCGCTCATGTAGCCCTGCGAGTTGGAGATGGGGCTGTACTGCAGGGCACCCATGTCGTAGCGGTGCATGGGCTGCGGGTTGTGCGGGTGGTGCGGGTGGTGGGGGTGCGGGTGGTGCGGGTGCCCCCCGCTGCCGGGGTGCTGGCTGTAGGCGAGCTGCGCCTCCTGCATCATCGCCGCCGCCGCCGCCGCCGCCGCCACCGAGCCCGGGTAGGCGCCGTTGGCCCAGCCGTTCATGTGCGCGTAGCCGCCGCTGGCCGTGCCGCCGGGGCTCTCCAGCCGCTGCCCGACGCCGCCCGGGCTGACGCCGACGCCCATGCCCACGCCGACGCCGGCCGGGCCTCCCCCGGCCGAGCCGGCGCTCAGCAGCCCCCCGGCCAGCGAGTACTTGTCCTTCTTGAGCAGGGTCTTGGTCTTCCGCCGGGGCCGGTATTTATAATCCGGGTGCTCCTTCATGTGTAGCGCTCGCAGCCGCTTCGCCTCGTCGATGAACGGTCTCTTCTCGGCCTCCGACATGACTTTCCACTCGGCCCCCAGGCGCTTGCTGATCTCCGAGTTGTGCATTTTGGGGTTCTCCTGGGCCATCTTCCGCCGCTGGCCCCGCGACCACACCATGAAGGCGTTCATGGGTCTCTTGACCCGGTCCTGGTTCGCTTTGTTTCCCCCGCCGCCGCCGCCTCCTCCGCCGCCTCCCGCTCCTGTCTGCCCCGAGAGGTTCGTGGGGGCCTGGGCTCCGCCAGGGGAGTGCAAGTCCGTCTCCATCATCATGCTGTACATTCAAATAGCTTTTTTATTTTCCACCGGTGCCAGACGTGAAAAATGAATCAAACATAGAGGAGCCCGGGAGGCCGGGGAGAGAGCGAGGCGAAACCCGTTTGTATCTAGGCAGCGACCGCCGTGCGAAAAAAAAAAAAAAAAAAAAAAAAAAAAAAAAAAAAAAAAAAAAAAGGAGGAGAAGAAAACCGCGAGGAGGGCGATCGGCGACCCTGCCGGCAAAAAACTTTCTCCTTTTCGCAAATCACTTTCGGGGCTCGGCGGTGAAGGGGGTTCGAGCTGCTCAAACAGGTGCACGGCAAACTTGCTGCTTCACTTGGCGCGGCGGGAGGAGTGTGCGGAGCCGTCGGCGGTGTCCTCCGCTCGCCGGCGCTCCCCGGCAGACGCGCGCACACCCCTCCGCTCCCGCTCTTATCCTTAACGGAGCTATTTTTTTTTTGTTCTTTGCTGCTAACTTGGAGAGAGAGAGGGAGGGAGGGGAGGGAGCGTGTGTGACTTGCATCCGCTGATCGCAGGTGAACGGAGAAGAAGAGAGGAGAACCCACCGCCACGCGAAAAGGAGGCGGAAAAAAAAAAAAAAAG